CTAAATTCTCCACGAAACCCCCCTCTGATCTAGAATCCGAAATCACTGACCAAATCATAAGCAAAGTTTTAATGCATGTTGACGAGTAATCGCTAAATGGTGCTTACCAGTTATTTCATTATTGTATGTAAACAGTGAACCACTAACAGTATTATGAACGTCGTGATTGGATCTTCCCCAAATCTCATATGACTAATTAAAGTTTGTGAGTCCCTTCATTTGGTGCCTGAAGTTTGTTTGTTAATACCAAATAACTAGATGAAATTGTAGGAAGGTTAGAAAATGAAGAGCACTGTTTACAGCAAGTAGGACACTTATAGGTACATCCTATCAGTTGCTATTTCATTTACTTATTGAATTTCAGATAATACCTTCCAACAGTTTCAGCGGTTACTAACCTACTAAGGTAAGTTCCCAAGTTTTTGTCACGAGTCTAAAGGCGATTTCATGAAAATCGCGATTACTGTAATTTTTACGAAAAGCGCGACATACGTGAAACGCGCATAAAATTATATTTGCACTACTGTGTGTAATGCGGACTGCCAAGCTTTTCGCTCGTCAGCAATCCATAACAAAAGTTTGCGTGTTTGAAGTATTCCACATTTCTCTAAATTTATCCAAAATCCACGTTACATCTGATCGAAATTCTTTTTTTGTCCATGTAAATATAACAGGACGTCCTCGTCCAAAATTATCGGTTATTACTAACTGGAATAAAGAATATCTACAAAGCGGAATTGGAAAAAAACATAAATACTTTTTATTATTGTTGTAAGTAGAATCAATACAAACTGCTTTCGGATATTTGTTGTATAATTCTATCTGCTCATAAGTACTAAAGCAGATTCTGGTGACATATCTATTTTCTGAATACTCTCTTAGTTCACCGTTTTGCCGCAATATATCAAATACTTGTATTCGTGTATAACAACCTAAAATATACTTTTACACAATTACCTGAGGAGAGTTGGTGTTATGACGTGTGGACTCGTAATAATATGGACGTGCAATTGGAGAGGAATGAATTTATTGATCGGAGGCAAATGATACTTGAAATTGTACGAGCAGTCTTGATTGCGTATCGGCCCTGCTATCTGCCTAGACCAGCCAGTTGAGTCCAGAACACAAATAACAGCCTCGGCAATATGAATCATCATTCACAAGCATACTGGGTTTATATACTAACCAAACAGACCCCATATACCAAAAAATAGAAAAATAACATTTGTACAATAATTGGCCAATGTGGCTGTGGATAGGGGGGAAGTAATCAATAATAATAGTTCAAAGGTCAAAATAAAGGTTACGATAAGAGGAACACGAATACGATTAGGTCAGTTATTTAACAACTATACAATAGGAAATAGACATATTACATTTGTCCAAAAATAGACTTCAGATTTACCATTCATAAGTCACCAGGGGATATAACAGTTGGGCGTTCATAGTCTTCACATCAGCAGCAGTAACCTGTTCACCAGTTCGGTCTTTAATACTTTCTATTAATTCATCTGCTGACGCTGATTATAGTATCGCCGGCTTCAAATTATCTTTTTCTTCTGAGAACAATCTTCTGGTCCGTGGATCACAAACCATCCATGAACTACTACACGGATGATTGTGAAGCATCTTGTATGACTTTATGACATATTCATCACCCTCCAATTTCACGTGGAACCTTGATTGACAGTTTCGAAACTTAGACCTTAAACGTCACATGTTAGTTAGAGTTCTCACGGTTTTTCACTGATAGACCTTGTGGATTACGCCTATGACCAAATGTGCAATGAAACACCACAAAACTGTATTTCAATCTCACGTCCTTTAGCAGTTCACTTTCGCCGTGAATGTAATGCGTATGGGTAGTCTGAGAAGGGATAGAGTTATGCATTCATACTTTTTGGAACTCCTTAAACACACTATCGAATTCAATCCAGCTTCCAAAACGCTTGCTCAGTATTATGTGTTGAAACGCATCGCTTAAGTCGACCGAAACGTCTCTGGAACATAAATCATCACAAACATCACCGGTAATTATTAAAAAACAGCTATTTCATGCGATAATACTTCAGTAACTGAAGAGAGGATTACAAACATTTAGGACATACGGGTTACTCGTCATATCGTCTTAATTCTTGCAGAAAACAACGATTCACACAAATTCAGAGTATCTTTTACTGTTAATTTATACTCAATACGCAGTTTTGTGGACCCCTATAAATTTTAAACAAGGAGAGTGAGGTTCAGTAGGGTAATTGGTACTCAGGTCAAGTTACGAAGCAACAAAAGAGCCAAATTATACACTAAAAAACAGAGGAAGCTAAATAAATGCTTTAAGCATTGATTTCGCGAATTTACTACAGTCGAAAACATGTTGATTGGTTTAAATTTTCGTATTGATATTCATATATATATTAGAGTAAAGCCTGATGACGATCTAATTGAAAACAATATTGTTCGCTTACATGTGTTGCTCTCATTTTCACAATGTGAATCTTTAATGATATCCTATATAATCACTCACATAACTATCAGTACTCAAATACATCATTTATATCATAAACACAAAGGATAATTTAATAGAATGTTGATCACCTTTACAATTCAAATGGCATGCGTAATAAAATACAATCAAATCTTTTGTTGTTTACATGAAGTAGAAGAAAAAAAGAAACCGAATGAAGAGACATACATAGGTTCAATCTGTATTTAAAGTTACTAGAATTTGCAACAAAGATCATTTCGGCAAATTAATAAATTGCATATATCCGTAGGTAATCATCTTCCCCCCCCCAAAAAAAAAGAGAAAGTGGAAAAATACTTCATAGATGATGATGATACAGAAATACCAAATTATATACAAAATAATGTTTGTTTTTCTTTTTTTTAAGTTGATAGATAAGAAATAACAAAATCTTATAATTGCTGTAAATAAAATCCAACTTTTTCATAGACTCTTTTACAACCGGAAACAGAGAAAAATTTACTGCCTTCTGGTGACCATTCAAGTTCATCTAATACAAATTCAACCATATCTTCAGAAAATGTAACATTACGTCGTTTAGCAGCATCTTGAACACATTTTCTAATATGAGTTGGTTGTAATGGTAAAAATGGAATAACAGCTGTGATTAAATGCTTAGTAATTAGTTCAGAGTATTGAAGGCCACCTATGGTAACAAACAAGAAAACAAAGGATATTGTATAACTTTAAATAGCAACGATAGTTTATCATAACATTGTCGTAAAGCATTTTTTGTTTTATTTAAACACATAAATATTGGTACAAAGGGGACACCAAATACATATGCTCCACACAAATCAAATGAAATTTGTGTGAGGGCTGTGATACTGCTTGGGTGCCTAAACCGAAGCAGGTAATGTTCTTAGGGGGCCACACCCCGAGACTTTGACCTAAAGTTCTGATTCATAAGACAGTGGAGCGTCGTAAGGAGATGCAGTCTCTTGGTAGTCGGTGACCAACGATTGGTTTATAAGCCATTTGTTCTTTCAGGACCGTGGAGCTCATGTGCATCATTGGTTTGGAATAAGGGTTTCCCAACTCTTCTAAGTGGACTTTCCGTGTCCACCGGCCCGGTTAAAGCGTCAAACGTTTGCTTTTGGTCCTCTCAATTTCGTAAACACCGTGGACACGAGAAGGCAGTGAGTAGGACTTCCCTGGCAGAGGATATATACGCGTGGCCATATGAATGCATTTCGACAGGAAGAGAGGACTCTCCTCACTCTCAGCCGTACCAGGACATTCGGGGGTCTAACACGATCACAATCATCATACAAAATAAATGAAGCTAACAGCAGTTTTTGTCAATATCTAGTTATACACAACATATAAATTATTACAAGTCTAAAACATTTTGTCTTGAGGGAATTATTTTTTGTGTGTGAAGTGAATGCAAGTTTTTTATATTCTGTTCTATATCAAAGAAAAACAATGAATTTTGTTATGCTCAGTAGTGACTGGCTTCATGAGGTGTTACCTGAAGTTCTAGTGAGAAGCAGTGGCCAGTGCAGTTCAACCAGATCTATTGTGAGATAGTAACTCACTGAAGACAATTATGAATGGTTGTTCGATTTCGTGGATTGGTTGAAGTTAGACATCAACACCGTTAGATGCCGGCCGGCTCAGTGGTTTAGTGGTTAAGCGCTCGCGCGCGAGACTTATAGGTCCTGGGTTCGAATCTCGCGAGGCGGGATCCTGAATGCGCTTTGGTGAGGAGTGCCGCAATAGGATGAAACAGCTGTTCAGTGCTTCCAGGTTTACCATGGTAGTCTAGCTTCAATTGACTCATGATTTCAACTATTTACCTATTCATATATAAGAACTCTCGTCTAAATTAGAACGAATAGTTTCACAGTATTTGAGCGCCGAGTTGAAGTAAGACATTAAATAGGAATAATATATTTGTAAAATCTCAGCGAATGAATTTTTTACCTATTCAGTTGAAATTTTCGCGAATAATGATTAGTGATCTTAAAAATCCAAATGATAAGTCAATTATTTTGATTAAGAATAATTTGTGAATGAATTACATAAAAATAAAACAGAATTCACTTTTACAGACCAACTGTAACATTTCCATCGTATGGAGCTCATGGTAACAAGAAATAACTAGTTTAATTTTATCATTGAAATGGAGTTTTCCTTTCGTCCTCAATTAATTAATGTACTTTAATGACCAAATATAGATCTTTGTACTCAACTTTAAGCCACAGGGATTTTCTAATGTGACAGCTAATCGGTTACCCGAAATGAGGTAAGTGTGTAGTGTGGGTTACTTATATCCCCATAAGTAGTATATGGAGATGGTCAGGTGTAGAATGTAGTTTACTAGAAGATTGATAAGGAAAGGACGGGAGTGGAACGCAATTGGTATGAAAATGAATGAACAATGAAATCAAAGTAGATTGATATTTGCAGAAGAAACAGTCAAGATTGAGACAATCGTGTTATTTTGCAAATTAACTGTTTACTATATGATTGTCAGATTTTAGTGAGATAGTCTATAGTTTTCGTGTCAAATACATTTGATTGTCCCCATCCGTGTTCTTGTTCACTACAAGGGGTTGGGTGGATATCAACGTGCAACTCAATGGTTGAAAACTGAATACTTTACAACTACACAAAGCACTATCTGACTTCAACAATTAAAATGTTGCTTCATTAGCAATAAACGGAACAGAAATACACTACATCATAATTCTATGTAGTTAATTATTCCATAGAAAAATGAGAGTCAAGTTAACTAAGAATGCAATTTTGTAGATTATATTTTTTAATTTGATAACAAATAAATCCGAAAGAACATTTTTACTTAAAAATCTACGTTTTTTGTCCAACACACGCCTGGTCAATGTAGACCGACGTGCTCAACAAGTTTCACGAAGCCCGGAGAAACCCAGTGTTTACGAATGGGAGGCTTCACGAAGCCGCAAGCGACTTTACATGACATTTTCACGACGTCATGAAAATGCAACCACAGTTCATTTATGCTTTTAGGTGGGTTGGGAGTTAGACTTGAGCCTAGTTTGGTTTGATATTTAGTTGTGACCGAAGCTGCAGCCAATTTGCTTATATGGATTCGTTTAGGACGATGAATTTGTTGGTCACTGAGACGTACGATAACATTAGCGCAAACAAGGGCATGATAACAACCTAGATAAGAACTCCAAAAGGAGCCAAGGTCTTGTGTACAGCCACGCTAGCTGTAATCGATCTCGATGTGATCAATCTGACCCCAGGCTTGAGTTGTAGAGATAGAACGCCAGGTAGTACACTGGCGATGACTGCGTCAATAGTGTTGACTAGAAACAGGTTGTAGTCTGTACAGAACTGCAGGAAACGGTCACCGTTATCTGAACTCCGAAAAAAGAGTCCTCGTTGACAACTGTGACGACTCTCCTCTGTGCACAGCCACTTAAACTGTCTATACGAATTTCGAGATAGTAATACGTTTATCGAAGTAACTTTTGAAATCATTTAACTGATAGTAAGACTTATCCTTGATTGTATCCAGGTTACAATAAGTTTACTATTAAAAAGATTAACGAAACTTTGGTATTCTGAATGCTTTGCCATAAATATCTTGATGTAATATCATCGGTAAATACTAAAATACAGACAGATTATTGAGCAATGTGGTGTTTTTCAGTAGTGAAAAGATTTCAGAGGCATGAATAGTTCAGTAATGGTCTTCAAATGACGGGTCAACTAGACTCTAACTGTAACTCTGAGTAGTGACAATTCGGATATCCTAAGTATTATTAATTACCTTGAGGATGTAAATATGCCTTACTGGATCAGTGTAAACAAGCTTTCTACTAAAAGTATCTGAGCACCGAACATTAAAATATTTTAAAGCCACTAATTCGAACAAAGAAAATCAAACAAATGTAATATTTACCTTCATTATTAAATGCTGATTTGGCTAAAAAACGATCGACATCTGTATATCGCAGATCTTCTCGCTTCTTTCCGTCAACTAAATGTTCATACGTACGTCGATTGATATAATTACCACCAGCATTACTAATTTAATAGGAAAAACAAATTTAAACACGTACAAAACATTAGATATTAAGAGCATCATTTGAGATAACTACTTATTACCAAAAGTGAGTGTACGCACAGGTCTTGCCAGTCTTTTAAAATTGCTTCGTACTTTGAATGTGCAAAGCACATGCGATACCTACAGACATTGATTGCCAAATGAATAAGTGCAGACTGCACATCTTGAGTATCATCGCATGTCTTAACACATGCATCAATAAATTTCAGAGAGTGATTGAATTAAAGTTATACAGATTTGGCTGACCACAGAAAAATGACTATTCTCAGTGTAGATTTCACAAAAATAAGCAGCTACTGATATAACACTAAATATTATATTAAAAGCATTGGCTTAAGCTATTACACTTCGTAACAGCATAGGACAAACACGAAAAGGATCATGAGACAGAAAAACGGATCCTCAAGATTTACAATATAATCAACGAACTCATCTGGACTATTCTGCATAAGGTTCACCCATATCACCCAGGGAACTCAAACACAGATTCCCGAGATTTAATTAACCTCAACCAGTATATTGATATCCCTTAAACTGATTAAACGAATAGTAAAATATGCCATGAGCTGGTTCCAAGTCCTTATTTAATTACAATTAACCTTCCATAACCCTAATCTTACTCGGATAAACAGAGTAAACAAAGGTGAAGAGAAACGAAAATATGAAAGTTCTTTTTAGGTAATTAATCACATCAAAAAATGGCAACCAAGACACAAAACTATCTACTTAATCTATACCACGTTACAGCTGAATGTTGTATGACTTCACTTCAATGGCGCTGATCAAGATTTATAGAGGTATACTGAAAAGGCCTCAACTCATACATTTTCACATACCTCAAAAAGATAAATATTGACCTTCTAAAATCAACACCTTCAACCGTTTCACGGACCTCTAATAAGGGTGACAGTATATCCAATATTCCATGAGGCATATTGTGCATTTCATCGAAAACAAATATTGATGTAGGGCACTCGGAAACAGCCGTATGTAGATCTTGATAAAGGCGTTCCTAAAAACGAAAAATTACGGGATATTTGTTAACTAAAATGGTGACACTGAATTCTACGCTAATGAAACTATATGCCTACTGAAACTCAATTACTCCTACCCTTCTGACAACTTGCAGGGTTGGGTAAGTAACTAAGACCTGTACATAAGATAGCAAACCAAACCGTTATTATGGAAAAACTGTCTACTTGTGTACTATATCTCATTCAGCAGAAAATCATGGAAAACAATAAATAGAACACTGAACGATGAAAATATAAATCAATATTTGAGTGGGGGGAAAACAAGCAATTTAAGCCGCAAGCGATAGATAAAAGCAGAAAAACTTTTGAGTGCAAGCTTGATATACTTGCTTGATTTAAGTGAAGATCACTGATCATACTATACAACTCGAAAATCATAAATTTCCATGAACTTTTCACCCTCTAAATCTAGTTAGAACAAATTCACCAAAATAAGGACTTGGTAATACATGTAAATAACGGTGATGTTATCAAAAGATTGCGGTTACTTGCCCCGGAATCGCACACATAGGTAGTAACTAACTGGTATGTTTCCTGACAGAATAGTTAATGTCCAAGAAATGATGTAAAATGTCATCGAAGATAATGAGGATATATCACAAACAAACTAAAGAGAAATCTAGAATGAATACAGAAAGAAGTGACCCCGAATGCCCTAGTACGACCGAGGGTAGGAGAGTCAGCTTTCCCTCTCGAAACGCTCTCATGTGGCCACGTGCATACAACCACTATCAGGGAAGCCCTACTCACAACCTTCTAGCAGCACCGCCGTTCACGAAGTCAAGAGGACGAAAAGCGAATGTCCGGTGCTTTAACCGGGTTGTTGAATATGAAGGATCCACCTAGAGGTGTTGGAAAACCCTGATTCCAAACAAATGGTGCACGTGGGCTCTGGATACCATGGGACCGTATCTCCTTACGTTGCCCCAATGCCTTGTGGACATAACCTCTACATCAAAGGCTAGGGGAGCGGCTTTCTAAGAAAACCAGGTGCCCCAGTTTGGGCACCTGGGCAGCGTCCCAGCCCTCGCACATATCGTACGATTTGTGTGGCGCATATGTATTTGATGCCTTGTACTGATCTATGTTTAAGTAAACAAATACATAAATACAGTGGAAGACAAAAAGACGTACGTCAACGATATAAAGATTTTGATTTTTAGAGTATATGGGGAAACCAAACTCATGAAAATAATGAAGGATACTAGGTTTTTTGAAAATAATAGTGATGCACTCTCGTTGGTTGCTAATTTGAAGAAAGTCATGAATTTTTGGCCAAGTGAAAATTTACAAAGGATATTAAGGTTGAACACCTAAGTAAAAAAGGGAATAACTGGCCGATATAAAGTATCTAATGTTCATTAAGATGTCAATTAAGTGTAGGTGATTAATAACATCTGGAAACTAACTTTGTACTCCGAAATGCGGGAGGCATGCTTGAAATGTATTGTCGCATCATAGAAATGGTAAAACCGACTCCGTGTTCCCAATCTCAAAACGTTATTTACAATAATATTTGAAACAAAGTTCTTTCCAACACCAGTGTAGCCATGGAATGACAATGCTAGGGGCTTTTGCGGCGAACCACCAGCAATGTGATCGACTAAATGATGATACACACGCTCAGCTGCGATATGCTGACCATGCAATTCATCCGAAAGTGATTGTTCCAAGCCTGGAAATGAAATTTTGAAAGCCTACTTGTCTTGTTGAAATGAACGGCTGAAGAGCAGCATTCATACAGGAGACAGTTTAAACCATATTTGTATATTACTCCTGTTATTGCTACTGAGAACGGTATAAGCGCAACAAACGGAAAAGCATCAGAACTTGCGAGCAGGAGGAATAGAATCACGTTGTAACGCATGCATCCAACTATACCGTGTAATGTTTCAAAAGACAATATTCAAGGTGACTTGGCCGGATCAGGTGGCTGTTTATCTATTGAACTGTGTTTGGGTGTTATGAGGGTGTTCTCCGTTACAACTGATTGTAGTGATTTATTTTTCTGAATATGAAGGAGAAAGTTAGTGTATAGTTGGACGGGGGATCATCAGAGAGCACAAAAGGTAATCTCTTTCAAAATCTACAGAACTAAAATAAATGCTAAGCATTCTACAGAAAGCTCCATCTATATCGCTCATTTAAGGAGTTCCGTAGCTTATAAGTTCCAACTATGAAAAGGTTTGAACGAACTTTTGTGAGGGCTCTTCCGTGTTCTGTTTCAAATGTTTATGATGAAGCTTAATAATGTGAAGTGACCGAAAGAATAGTGTATTTATAAGTAAATGATCACTCTTCTAATGCCACAGAACGTCACGGAAAGCTTCACACACCAATAGTGGTTAATTTACATGAGCGCAATGCTTGCTATGAGCTAACCAGGGTTCATGAATGATTAGATGAATTTTGTCAATGGTCCTCCCTCAAGTTCACCAACTTGATAGCACTCCTTTATTGCGTAGTCAGCTCTAAATCTAAAAACTAATTTACTGAGCTAAACATCAGGCTAATGTCTAGGCAGATGAGCGATTAAATGACAGAATGCTACCACACAAGCTGGATCCGACAACAAGCTTTCAAATTATTTCAAACGGATAAAATTCAGAAACCATGAATAAAGATGGTCATTCAGTTAGCGTCTGCTAACACCTAGAAGAAATATGATTGCGAAGACCCGGTTTCTTGATAAGTAATTTCTGAAGCTGGTAAAGTGTTTCAGTATTTATGTACTATATGAAAAAAGGGAAATTTTCGATTGACTTCATTCACTGTCTGTTTAGACAGTTTTGTATTGATCTCGAGAACAATCGATCTAAGTGAAACTTATAGGATCAGATTATTGTTATTAAAACCAAAATATGGTCTACAAATGCAAGATCACCCGATGATAAGGCGAAACTTAATGAGATACTTGACGCATCTGTTAGGGAACTATGAAAAGACCAGATGCAACTAATTGTTATGTAATATATCAAACAAGGTTCATTTTTCAAATTGTCCGTTTTGCGAACTCATATGTCGTCTATGCCTAAGTTACAGTCCCATATCTACATGCTGCATACATAATGCTGTTAAAAGGTTGAAGATACAACCAGTATTCTAATTTTACAATTAGCAACCAGTGACACCTTCTATATTCGAATCTTCCCCAATTAGATAAAACCAGAAGTCAGATGCGCAGAGATCGTAAAGATATATTTGATACGTTATCGATATATCGAGGAGCGTTTACTCTAATCTGGCTAGTGAACGTAGGAGCTGTGTCCAACGCTGGGTCGTAATGTGATCTGGTGCGGATGCATGACCGAACGCCTTCAGTTAAACAAGTCCACTTAAAACGATGTGATCAGCATCCAATGTCGAACACTTAGAAAGCCATTGAGATTGGGGAATTACTTTCAGCTACAAGGTAACACATGAAACGGCATGGCAAGATAAGCCGAACTGTACAGAATGGAACAAATCGAAAAGTGTTTTTTGGTATACAGTAGAATAAACCAACTCTAAGAAACTACAGATAAATAGGAGAAACTAAGTACAGTTTCATAGAGCGTAACATCATGAAATCAATCTGAAGTGACAGAAGGGATGCTGGGATATTAAGTAGTATAGATGCCTATTGTTTTCGAAATCATAATAAGGGAAGCTTGAGAGTTTAGATAATCAGATAGTTTTGAAGTGTTATTGGATATCAACTACTTGATCCTAGAGGCCAAACATACAATAACTGAGAAGGTTTACATCCAATATTAAACATCTAGGAAGGTTCACAAATGATAAGCGTGGAGAACTTTATATGACACAGCCGTACAGATGTGGTCACCATATGTTATCTCTTCCTTTTTCCACTACATATATTATTCTATCCTCAGCCCTAACTCCGCCTGTAGCTCTTCTAGAGTTACTGCCGGTCCCAAGCCCGGGTAAAGGAGGAGGGTTCGGCATGGGGTTAGCGACCCCATCCCGTAGAAAAGCTAACTCGCTAAAAAAACGCTAACCAGAAAAAATAGTTCAAACCATTTAAACTCTGCCCTGGGAGTTGAAGGAATAATGACGTCTCATGATGAAAGCCGAAATTCTTCGGAAGTCACGAGACCGATGCACCTTCTAACAACCAGAGCAACACTCTTTATAGGTACATGGAACGTCCGGACAATGTGGGAGACAGGAAAGACCAGCCAAATAGCAATGGAAATGAGGAGATACAACTTGGCAGTACTCGGAATCAGCGAAACCCATTGGACACAAACTGGACAACAAAGGCTAGGTACGGGAGAGATGCTGCTGTACTCCGGTCACGAAGGGGAAAATGCTCCATACACTCATGAAGTTGCTCTAATGCTGTCCAAAGAAGCACGAAATGCACTTGTGGGATGAGAATCTCATGGACCCAGGATAATCAAAGCATCGTTCAGAACAAAGAAGCAAGGGATCACAATGAACGTTATCCAATGTTATGCACCCACCAATGATAGCAACGACGACGATAAAGATCAGTTCTATGAAAGGCTGCAATCAATTATAGAGAAGTGCTCACGAAAGGACCTCACTATCCTGATGAGAGATCTAAATGCTAAAGTTGGAGTGGACAACACAGGATATGAAGATATAATTGGACGACATGGACTAGGAGAGAGAAATGAAAATGGGGAGAGACTTGCAAATCTATGTGCGTTCAACAAATTGGTTGTAGGCGGCACAATATTCCCACATAAGCGCATACACAAAGCTACATGGATCTCACCGGACCACACCACAGAGAACCAGATAGGCCACATCTGTATCAACAAAAAATTCAGAAGGTCAATGAAAGATGTGAGAACCAGGAGAGGAGCTGATATAGCTCCAGATCACCACCTGGTTGTGGCCAAGATGAGACTGAAGCTAAAGAAACACTGGACAACTGGACAAACAGCACTACAAAGGTTCAATACAGCCTTCCTTCGGGATACTGACAAGCTCCATGAATTCAAGATAACTCTCAACAATAGGTTCCAAGCTGTACAGGATCTATTGAATGAACAAGAATCTACTTTGGAGGACAACTGGAAAGGGATAAAAGAAGCACTAACTTCAACGTGTCAGGAGGTTCTTGGTCCTAAGAAGCATCATCACAAGGAATGGATCTCTATGGGGCCCCTGGACAAAATTCAAGAAAGGAAGAACAAGAAACTAGCAATCAACAACAGCCGAATACGAGTAGAGAAAGTCAAAGCACAAGCAGACTACGTAGAAGCAAACAGGGAAGTGAAGAAAAGCATTAAAGCCGACAAGCAGAAATACATGGGAGAACTAGCGACGACGGCGGAAAAGCTGCAAGAGAAAGGAATATGAGACAACTATATGATACAACGAAGAGATTGGCAGGGAGATATAGCAAACCGGAGAGACGAATCAAGGACAAAGAAGGAAAGACAATCACTGAGATTCAAGGACAGAGGAAAAGATGGGCAGAATACTCCGAGGAACTGCTGAATAGACCAGCCCCATTGAACCCAATCACACTTGATGGCGAAACTCTGAAAGAGGTGGAAACATTCAAGTACCTGGGGAGCTTCGTTGATAAACAAGGAAGAACGGATGTAGATGTAAATGTGAGGATTGGCAAAGCAAGGGCAGCATTTCTACAATTGAAGAACATATGGAACTCAAAACAACTCTCAACCAATTTCAAGGTCAGAATCTTTAATACGAACGTCAAGACAGTCCTACTGTATGGAGCTGAATCGTGGAGAACTACTACGACCATCATCAGGAAGGTACAAGTATTTATAAACAGTTGTCTACGCAAAATACTCAACATCCATTTGCCGGATATTATCAGCAACAGCGTTTTATGGGAGAGGACAAACCAGCAGGTTCCAGCTGAAGAGGAAATTAGGAAAAGACGTTGGAAGTGGATCGGACATACATTAAGGAAATCACCAATGTGAATCACGACTCAATCCCTAACTTGGAATGGTGAAAGGAAGCGGAAAAGAGGGAGGCCAAAGAACACACTACACCGGGAAATAGAGCAGATATGAAAAGGCTGAATAGTGACTGGAAAGAACTGGAAAGGAAGGCTCAGGACATAGTTGTATGGAGAATGCTGGTGAGCGGCCTATGCTTCTCGACGAGGGGTAACAGACGTAAGTAAGTAAGTATCCTACGCCCTAATGTATTCTTCAAATCTTAGCAACAATCACTGATGAGACGAGTCAATATAGATAGTGCAATGGCTTTTAAATGAGATGTCAGTCTCAAAAGACAGTATTATTCAGTAGCACTAGACTAGTAGGTCTCACAAAATAGCATTATGGTTTCTCGATATTTTGTCTGTGTGGGGGATGTATACAACTGAACACGACTGGTAAGTATTCTGATAGAGATCGAACACACAACTCGTGAAGAATCGGTCTACTTTTTAAATGGAACTTGGGGTGAATAAACCCGAGGAGTTTGTGAGTTTTAGATACTTGATGTATGGATAGCTTGAAGTGTGGAAGGCTTTTGTAAAATTATGCTCTGTGTGTCAAACACCACCTAATTGTTTGCATTGCAGCCCCTCGGATCCAAGTCTGTGTGTGAAATAAATTCACCGGAACTACATGTACCCAGAATTTTGTACATCGGGAAGGAGAAACCACGTACCTCACCAGTTTCTAGTTCTAAAATGTTGCTTCGTACTAAGTGACTGGCAGTTTGACTGTGTGTGTGTGTGTGTAAAATGCAAGGCGTCAAAGAATAACAGTGTTTTCTAGAGTGTAAATCTTTCAGGTATGTTATTACGTTCATGATGAACAGTGAGGGTTTGGTGGATGGATTCAGGAAAAAACATCCAACAGAGACACTTTATAAGGCATGTGATAATGTATATATATTTGCATTGTCACGTCAAGATAGCCACCTTGGTATTTCATGAGTTCATTTTTGACCTTCAGGCT